CCTATCTTGTCCAGGTCATCCTCATCGTATGAGAGCCTGGTGTATGCCGACGCCCTCGGCTGGCTTTCTGCTTCCTCCTCGTCTTGGTGAATCGTCTCAGATTCCCTAGAACGACGAGATTGGGCGTGACGACCCCCGCCAAGTCTTTCCATTGCGCTAGTCCGGCCCATCTCAGGACCAAGACGTAGCTTGGCAGACTTGCGGGGTCCATCCTCTTTGCCCCCTAGGCGTTTGAATGCCGAATCTCGAGTCTTGCTGGGTTCGGCTATAGCCTTACCCTTCTTCCTGCGGGCCGCCTCCTGCTCCGCCTCATTGATTTCATGGACATTTGAGGGCGCTGCTTCATTCAAAGTCCCCGTCAAATTCACCGGATGTATAGGGACCACCCTAGGGACAAATGTCGACGGGGTCGACACCGGAGGTGGCATAATTGGCGGCGTCATACCAGGATAGGCAAATGGCATGAAGCCACCTGCCTGTTGCATCATGGCCATCACCTGTTGATAGCCCTGTAGAGCCTGAGCATTTGCCGGGTTAGCAGCAAACTGAGCCCAAGCTGACGGGTATGGTGTGAATGCTCCACCAGGCGTTGTTATCGAGCCTGGGAATATTGTTGTCGTCGGCGTAGGAGTTGGGGTTGACATGATTGGGATCATGCCAACTGATCCTACAGTAGTGATCGGAGCAAAGGTCGTCCCCATGCTCGACATCATCAACGGGATGGCAGGAGTGCTTTCACTCGCAGCCTGGCTTGACACAGCGTTGTAGTTGCTCGAAGACATGTTTATGGATATTTAGTGGGGGTAAAGTTTTGACCTGGTCGAAAAACTTTAAAAATCGGCCCCACGGTGGGCTCCAAAAATGATGGTGTAAATATAGTTGGGTGGGTTAATCGGGTTTGACCTGGACACACTCGACCCGTAATATAAACACACAACAAGAACACAAAGTATGACCTAGACCGGGTAAATCTCCTCAGTCCGAATTATATTTCTTACTCTATCTCAAGAGTGAACTTTAGTGAGAAAAAATTGGATCCCCCCCTCTATCCAATATCATCATATTTATAGAGGAGGATTTGTGACCTTCCCCTGTTCATCCATGGACAAAATAGGAAGCTCGTGGGAAGGTCACTGTAGATAATGGGAACACTGTACAATCATAGAATTTAGCAACTATAGGCCAAGACATGTACTGTTCAATCAAAGACTAAATTGGATATTCTCAATCCAATCAACCCTGCAAAATGACAAACATCCCTTTCACTGTGTGCCTCGTGATGGATGAGCGGTGGGGTGTCCCCTTGACCTCTGACGTGGTTCACCATGCCTAAGAGACTAAACCAATGTTAGCCAAGTAAAGTGATATGACCGATCACCTTCTCTCAAAAGTTACCCGGTCATTCTTTGTGCTCAACCCGTCTCTGGTCTTCTAGAATGTCCTTTGTAACATTAGGCGACATTTTGGCTATCGCCCAAAATGTGACCGGTCACTTTTTTAGTGGAAGTGACCGGTCAACTTTTGACCCGTCCCAATCGAAGAGTTAACCTCATTTGGTGATTGATAAAAGTGACCGGTCATATTTTGACCTGTCCCTTTCGGTTGTCCGGGTCGGGTATAAGGATATACCCATCAGATAATATATCTTTTTTGTCATACACAATTCCAAAGGCTGTTCCGTTTGCATTGTTTGTGAATTACAATCGTTTTCTACTACAACCATAGTCTACAAATGTGGTATTTCGTCGGAATTCTAGCCCACAATCACAGTCATTATTTTTGTGTTATCCCCTTAACCAATATCAGAGCACGTCACTAGACACAATGTTGATGTCAAATTATACTTTTAGCCTTTAAATTAACACCAACATGGCAGAAGATCAAAAAAGGACCATTTGTGGAAAGGCACCCGTAAAAAAAAGGACTACGAGGGTAATATTTGATAATAAAAGACTAAATATGGAAACCCCCTTGTTATAAAGGACCAATTATGGAATTTACTCTAAATAATGCAAATGACAAGCATTTCATTAACTCCTAAGTGGAAACAGAAAACGGCATGGTTCTTTGACATCAATAATTGATGTCTTAACTGCTCAAAAAAACAATTGATGTCATATTATGACAGAGGCACCTATGGTGCTCCATTGGGCCCGAAAGTGGTTCCTCCGTCCCCAACCCCCTCCCCCCTCTAATGGACGATCGACTAGGGAAGGGGGGTAATAGGGGATGGGGTGGGGCAGGGGGTAGGAACCACTTTCGAGTAATCAAATGAATGTACATGCAGAACGGATTATAAACGGATTGGATATATGATTTTCAAAACCGTATCCATTTACCGATTGGATGTACTTAATTGGATACAGATGATATCCACTTTAAGCAAATGTAAATATTTTCCTTGTAAACGGATCCGGATGCAGACGATAATCAAATTTTTGGTTATCCATTTACAACCCTATCCATACAATTCAATACATTTCATCTAAAATGCCTTCATGAATAGCTAACAAATGGTGGTGGTCTCTGGTACCCAGACTCTGGCTTCCATGTTCGCTATGGCTAGGGTTTTGATCGAAGCTTGAAGATGATGTCTAGGGATTCTGGTGAAACTTGAAGAAGATGATGAACAGTTGACAGAGGAAGAGATTTGGAATTTCAGTTCAGAACGGTTCAAGGAAGTGAGAGGGCTTCTTTGATTGGAAGGGAAGCCTTTACCAGACCCCCAATCCTTGTATAAATAGACCTTCCTAGAATAAGGGGCGCTAAACTGAACACAGATAATTACTTATACGATTATCGTTACAACTATTCTTCGGTGGATTAAAATCAAACACTACCAATGCCAAAAAAATAGCCATTTTCAAGTCACAACTTTGAAGGTTTGTAATTCTTGTCAGAATTCTGCAAAAGAATGCTTTACAGAGAAGGGGGTCGATTGCAAAGAGCTCAAAAGATATTAAGGACCTGATGGCACATAAATGTGATGAACAGATACTAATACCTGATCATCAAGAAAGTCAGTGCATTTATAGCACACTCGCATGCCATTTGATAAAACTAACTCAAATGCCCCAATATTCTGATGTTCAATCTGCTGCACTGTCCACCTGAAAAGGATACCAAGATGGTCAAGAAATGGGATAACATAGTACATAACTACTTACAAGAAATCCACAGTTTGACCCCTTTCTATAGATTACAGCCCACACCTTTAATTCACTATTTGCAATAGCTTATATTGTACGTGTGGAAACCTACTCACAGACACAATACCGAAGGAAATCGGATTGCTGAAAATTCTTTTAAGTATTGCACTTGGATGCTAGGTTGAAAACTGGCTGGCCAGGCCAATTCCTCCCGCAACTGGCAACTTATCCAATGTTTTTGCAAATGTCAGTGTAAATTGAGTTTAAGTTTGAACATTAATATGCCATATTTTATTTAAATTTTGAAAATTGAGAATATTGCTTAAGTGTTGCAAACAGCCTCTCTACCTATATAGGTGAAGGGAAGGTATGCGTACACCCACCCTACAAAGACCGCACTTGTATGATCTTACTAGGTTGTTCTTGTTGTGATCGAGTTCAAGTTTGATTTTCATAAGATACGAGCAATTTCAGAATCAAGATTACAGTATTCATTAAAATTACAGCAACAGATAGTGATAATGTCAATCATTGATGGAAAAGATTGTCTAAAGATGTGAGGATACCCTGGATTTGGTTTTACAGAAACAATTTCTTCTGGAATGTTTTCGTCATCCCAAGGAGGAAGACTTTTATCTTGTTCAAGTGTATTGATCTTCAAAACAAGAGCTTTCAGATCATCCAGTGTGGCAGTTGCTTGAGGCTCTATTGTTTTAATGACACAGCTAGAGGATGTGCTAAACCTCTCTGAGAATTTAGATACTTCATATGTTGATATATCTAGGAACACAAAAAGGCTCAGCATCAGTTTATAGCTATTCTTTCCATGCAAAGGGCATATGGCTGATTTTTGGAAGATTATTTTCGTAGTAGGGAATACTCACGAGGTAAAAGAGTTTTATGGAGCTGTGCCTCATACTCAATGTCAATAACAGATTCATTATGGAGAAAATGCTGAAAACAAGTAATTGATTAAAACTAAGTAGAGTAAGTGAGTGAGTGAGCCAGTGAGTGAATGAGAATGCACCTACAAATAATAATTGCTTAAGCTTGTTGACTCCATCTGCTCTCTCTCTAAGTAGGCAGATTCCATCTCTGACATCAGCGAAGCACGTACACCAGATATTTCGCGTTCAGAGAACCCATGCAGTCGTACCCTTGCAACCAAAAGCTGAAGTTAATAGAAAAGAAAATAAAGGAAAAGGTCGTAAGATTTGAAAATAGAAAAGCACACCTCAGTTAGCATTGATTCTAAAGCCTCAAGAGTTCCCTTCTCTTTGCAAGACGAAGTCATAATGTATGCACTCACTGGATGGACAAGACAATGTACTTCACCATAGCAAGAAAAATAAGGTGGATCCTTCTTGCAAGATATCTTGAAATATCTCTTATTCAAGGCAGGAAAAAACATGGACTCTGCAAGCAAATCACGATAGTCTTTCACTGTTTTAAGCTCATCGGCAGGCATTTTGCAGCTGATCATCACAGCAGACTGTCAAAATTCAAAACACAATACGAAAGTAAAATTCCCTGCCAACCATACCATGTGAGATATCAAAACAAATTAAATCATGTGAATATGATAAAATACTACCCCATCAGCCTCAGGTTCCACAAAACATGAAAACCTTGTTTCTTCATGTAACGGAACAGGATAGTATGGTAAAGGAGGCAGGTCAGGCGGAGAAGCTTTATATCCAAAGTGAGTCTTTATCAAATCAACAACACTCTGTCATGAAGAGACAAAGAAAGCAAATATATTTTCATCATAAAGTACGATTAGAAGTCCTTTTCTACATAAAATAAATATATCAATCTCCAGACGACCAGACCTGCGTGTCAGGAAAATCTCCAACAGCTATAACAGCCATATTCTGCAGTTGATACCACTTTTCATAGAAATGTTTCACAATCTGAGGAGAAACCGTCTTCATCACCTTTTCTACTCTAATGGGCAGCCTGAAGTAATTCAAAAATTTCAGAGTAGCTTCAAAAGTGTTTACCAACTAAATAACCTACATTTTTAAATAACCGAGGCAAAATTAGTTATTTAGTCATTTTTAGCCCCGATATTAGCAAATTTAAACATTTCCAGCAAATGTAATCTAACCAAATGTGCTCTCATAACTTTGGAAAATATAGATAACATTAATGTTAGTATATATTCATGGAGTGTGAAAACATTTGTGGTGAATGCCGTTCCAATCACAACCTTCTTATGGAGGGATAATAAGATGAAATTTCAAAACCATTGCCTATAGCAAAATAACAAATTGAAGCAGAAATATCATGAGGCAGCAACAAGTTGAGATCAATTTTTTAAAGTCATGTCTCATTACTCAATCAAAAGCACTTCATAATCCAGTAACTTTGGCATCAAACAGAATCACAAGTACAATATTTAATCTAGCTATTCGATCCTCTAAGTTAGTCAATTGCGGGAGAAATTCCTATGCAGGACTAAAACATATTTCATATGCTAAAATATGGCCTTCTATGTTTTTTTAAAACCAAAATAGCGCTTATAATGCCAATAATGTCAACATACTATACCAAAAAACACTGAGATGCGAATACACAATGTCAAATTGCATGCATTGTGACAGTGCAATGGTCCTATTTTGGGGATAAAACCATAGAAGTCTTATTTTTAGTATAACTTCAATGTTTTAGTCTAATTTAGGCAGATTTCTTGTCGATTATTAGGAATGAATATTCTAATTCAACTACAAAAATGCAAATACAAGCATGCCCCAAATCAATGAAAGGAAAGACAATATACTCCATCCTTCAATGTAATCATGATTAGCTCTTCAATGCAGGATTTTGAAACATAACAATGAGGCAGTCACCAAACAGCATACGACATCCCTATGCATCACACAGAAGTATCGGAAAATCTAAAATGATGTGATTGATATTGAATTTCAAAAAATATGAATTGATTTGAGCCAAATCATACCAAATATGGTATCATTGGTATGGGAAAAAAGTGGGACAAACCAAATTGGATGAAAGGGACAAAGTGGAAAAGGGAGAGTACGAAACTGCTGTCTTTTTCATCATGATATGACTCTTTTGGCCAAGATGAACATTAAAAGTGAATACTTGTTAACTATAAGGCAATACAATGTCAAAACCAGGAACCAGATTAAATTGGACGCATTACCTTTGAACCTTCCATCATCAGAACCCAGTGTGCATCCTCTATGCGTCCATCGGCATTCCTATCTTCCCGACACTCTTCCATTACAGCCCCTCTATCCTTTTCCAAGTCATCTTCGGACCTGAATGGAGTTCACAATTCCCTTTTCTATCCGCCCCAAAATAAACTCGCACTTTTCTCATTTCCTTTTATCAGCTTATGGAAAAGGAAACTTGGCTGAAAACATGTCTCGCTCTCTCTTCTAAATAAACTCAAACCACACATTTTTCAGTTTCAAGTTTCAACACCTTTCCTAAACTCCGCAAAGTCAAAGTGCCATTTTCATTTTGAGACGGAGCAGCATATATTTTCAAAGATTCTACAAAAAAAGAGGCAATTATTGATACCTCTGAGCTGAACTCTCCCAATATGGAAATTGCTTGGGATAATAATTCCGGTTTGTCTATTGGAACAAATAGCTCATATACAGTTTCGTCAAAAGATGTGTATGCATTCCGGCAAGCACCAAACTCAGCCCCGATACATTCAAGAAACTGAACGATGTCCCTAGTGGCGTTAAAAGCAAGATGTTCTACTATATGAGCAACGCCACGCTCTTCCTCGTCTTCTAAAACTGATCTGCAATCAATTTAACAGCACTTGATTAGAGAACCCGCATAAATAGCACAACTGTGGAAGAATCCGCATAAATAGCACAACTGTGGAAGAATCCGCATAAATAGCACAACTGTGGAAGAATGCATGGTCGAGAGTCACTTTAAAGTTTAAACTAACAAATGCTGCAAGCAAACAACATGAGAATCAATTGATGGAAGGGTCCCTGAATTCATGTTGTCTCATAGAACACACTTAGACCAATACAAGGAATTCTGGAATATGTGAATTTGGAATTGGAATTGGTGAATTTGGAATTGGTAGTGCAAAAGATGAATTGGAATTGAAGAACTCGATTCCATCAAATTCAATTTCATAGAATTTCAATTCCAGAACTGGAGATTCCGCCGGTGACGAGTCCATTCCAAGTCTTTTCCCTTTGAGCAGGTGGACTTGGTTTCAGGCATCATGTTGTTGTTGTTGTTGTTGCTGTTGTTGTTGTTGTTGTTGTCGTTGTCGTTGTTTTCGTTGTTGTTGTTGTTGTTGTCGTCGTCGTCGTCGTCGTCGTCGTCGTTGTCGTTGTCGTTGTCATCGTCGTCGTCGTCGTCGTTGTCGTTGTCGTTGTCATCGTCGTCGTCGTCGTCGTCGTTGTCGTTGTCGTTGTCGTTGTTGTTGTTGTCGTTGTCGTTGTTGTCGTTGTCGTTGTGGTTGTTGTCGTTGTCGTTGTTGTCGTTGTCGTTGTCGTTGTTGTTGTTGTTGTTGTTCTTATTATTATTATTAGAATGAGTGTGAATCACAAAATAGTAGCATGAGAAAAATAAAAAATAAGAAAATTGAATAATTTTTGAACTAAAGTTATCATAATAATAATAATAATAATAATAATAAATAAAAAACATATTATTTTTGGAGTCGGGGAGTAACAAAATATTGAAGAAAATGGAAATAATTGGGAAACTTGAAAAAAAACTAGAAAATATTGGAAGAAACTGGAAAAAATTGAAAGAAACTAGAAGAAAATTAAAAGAAAAATTGGGAGTAATAAAATATTGAAGAAAATGGAAATAATTGGGAAACTTGAAAAAAAAACTAGAAAAAATTGGAAAAAGCTGGAAAAAATTGAAAGAAACTAGAAGAAAATTAAAAGTTGGAAGAAACTGTTTCGTTGTTTTATTGAACAATCAACCGTTCAATCAAGAGAAATGCTTGATTTACAAATAAAATGATTACAAATGTCATAAAATTACTATTTCTGAACTTAAAATAAGTAATCTAAAATATTTTCTAAATGAGAACTTAAAACGTAAATGATAAGTTTGTGGAATTCTTGAGCATTTTGTTTGCAACCTGCATATACATCCTCAATTCATATTGTGAATACAAGAAATACGAGAGATATGCTCCCAAATATTATTCTTTCATTTTCTAAACCACCCAAACTTTATCTCATTACACACCCCTACGGCGATTTGGAAGAAGACGACGAGGACGATCTCAATGATTTGGGGTGATCTTGGCCTATTTCATTTTTAATTCAAACATATATTTCCTGATATATTTATTTTAGGGTTTTGTTTGGGATAGATTGGGTTTGTTTTAAGATTGGGTGTTCATATTTTTAGTGTTTGGGCACGATTATAGTGGCGGTTCCTTAGGCGAAGGGTTGGCAGTTGCATTGGGGTATGGATGGTTGGGAATTGCGTTGGGCTAGGGAGGGGTTGAGGGTAGTGTATAGGTTAGGGAGGGCAGGTAGCTATGACTATGAAATTGTTGGGGGTACTGTGCTTAGGGGCTACGAGTAGAGGTTGGGATGTTGTGAGAGTGCGGTTATTGTGGGGCGAGTTGGGTTAAGGCTGCAGGATAGGCGGGGGTGGTGCGGTTGGGGATAGGGGCTAGGTGGCAATAGGTTAAGGTTGGAGTGTTGTGTATGGGCTGCGAGTAGGGATTAGGATGTTACGGGTGTGCAGGTTAGGGACAGGAGGGTTGGGGTAGGGCTCTAGGATCGGTGTGGGTGGTGCAGTTGGGGCTAAGGGTAGGGCGATAGCATGTTAGGGGCGGGGTAAGTTGTGGGCTGACTGCAATTAGGACTTGGGAAATGGGGGACTAGGGGTGGACACGGTACGGTTCCGGTTCCGGAACCTCCGGTTCCGGTACCGCCACCCCATGGCACCGGCACCGTGACCGGGCCGGACGGTACCGGTTCCGGTTCCCGGACCTGCAGTTCCGGTACCGGATCGGCCGGTTTCGGCCCCCTCCCTATTTTTTTCTTTTTTAAAATTTTTAAAGTATAAAATTGTAAATTTGCAATTGTTGAAGGAAAGAATGAATAAAAAATCTAAAAATGTAGTTGTTATTTAAATATTTTAAATGAATAATACACTAACTGAAGAACAACCATGTTTAATATCTTGACGGTTCGATCAAAAAAAGCGACGAGGTAAAGAACCGTAAAGAAACCCTCGAAGGAGCTTATATATCGCTCACCTAAAAAAACCAATTACATATTTACATTAATATAAAAAAATTATAACTTATTCTTCAGAACTCGGACTTCCATCTGTTGTTGCATTCATGTAATGCTCCGATTCGAGTTGGTACAATGACTCTTGAGCTCGACGTCTTGCCAAGAGCCAATCTTGGTTGCAAACCAGTGTTTCAAGAGATTCAGCGCTAAGACAACTTCGAAAGTCGGTTATAATGTTGCCGCCAGCACTGAATTCTCGTTCAACTACTACGGTTGATACCGGAACGGATAACACTTGTCTTGCTAGCATGCCGAGACATGTGAACATGTGTTTGTTCCGCTTCCACCATCCGAGCACGTCAAAATCCACGTCGTCGTCATCGTAATCGCATGGCACACCCTGGTACATAGCAAGTTCGTTGTGCGAGTTTACTGTTGTACCACTTGAACTCGTCGAAGAATGAGCACGCTTCCCTTTCTTTGCAAGAAGGCCACCGACTATTCCGGCAAAACCTTTTTTTGACTTCGGGGGCGGAGGTGGTACTGTTTCTTCTTGTACAGTGCCGTATAACCCTTGATATTCCTTAAACAAATTCTCAAAAAAAGTTATAGCATTATCTCTTTCTTTTTTCCATTCTATTAAATGGCTGTAGTAGTAACTATTTTCATCTAAAAAACAACTATAGTAATACTCAATTAAAATTTTAAAATTTTCAATCTTAAAGCGTGGATCACAAATAATACCTACTCCGTATTTTATAAATGTTAGGAATGTACAAATAATAAGCACATCATTTATCTCTCATAGGACGGACATAATTATACAAATCATCATCTGCCATACTTTCACGAAAACATGTTGCGATTGTAACACACTCCTTTAAAAACATCATTTTTTACCCTTAGACTTACAGAACATCTTCCAGGACCTCAAAACAAGACGAGCCCCCAAATTCTTTTAATTCCTTCTTTAATATTTGTCAAAACTCCGCCCATAGCTTCTAGTCCCTGTTGAATACATAAATTTAAAACATGACAGACACACCGTTGATGCAGAAATCTACCCATAGTCGTAGACGGTGGGCAAATTTCTCTAAGTCTAGGAATAGCTGCAGTATTATTAGTAGCATTATCAAAACCAAATGAAAACACTTTTTCAGATAAGTTGTATTCCCGCAGAATACTGTGAAGCAATAGAAAAATATTTTCAGCAGTATGCTGATCATTGAAATCACAAAATGCAAGAATACGTTTATGCATAATCCAATCACTATCTATCTAATGACAAGTAATACCCATATAAGATAAATTATGATAAGTTTCACCCCAAATATCAAACCAAATAGCAACACGAGAATTAAAATTGAGAAAAAAATTTGCCAAATTAATTTTTTCAATTTTATACTAGCGAATAATTTCTTGTTTAATGGTTTTTCTTGAAAACCTCGTGCTTGAGGGTTTAATGTCTGTTGACAATAATCAATAAATCCAAGTTTTTCAGAAAACATGTATGGCAAATTTTCTTCACAAATCATTTCGGCCATTTTTTGCTTATTTTGCTCGTCGCTATAAGCAAAAAGGCCGCCCTTACCTCTGTTAGCAAACCGAGAAATTTGGGTTTGCACTTCTTGTCGTCCCTTCCTTATCGCCACGTATTTGGCGTACTCCACGGGATGCCTCGACCTAAGGTGTTTTTCCAAACCGCCGGAAACTCTCATTTTTATAACGGTCCCACAATGTTTACAAGTTCCATAAACTACACCATCTTTTGTGTCTTTGTCAAAATGATGAACAAATAAATTTGATTTTAATTTCTTTTTACCTTTGTCCGAACCTCGAGAGGTCCCGTGCTCACCTGTCTCCACGTCGACATCGTGGCTTTACGGTGTAGGCTCATCGTCCCCGTCCAGATTATCCAATCCTGCTTCATCAACATCCTCGAGTAGACTATCAAGAGTGGGGAGATTCGCGTCCCCTCTACCAGAATAAATCTGGTTGAATTCTTCATCCGTCATACCGTCTCCGATTAAATAATCTGGGACAGTAGGAAACGAAGAGACGGAGTGTCTTCCTCAAGAACCGCGTGAGGTCGAACCGTTGGAGGTGGCTTTAGCTTTGCTTTTCCTCAAAGTTCGGTTCACGGCGCCCATATCCACGGACCTTCTACCAGACTCTCTCGACATTTTTATATATATATATATATATATATATATATATATATATATATATATATATATATATATATATATATATATATATATATATATATATAGATTAAAAAAATAATATATTAAATTTTGAAAATTTAAAAAAAAATTCGAAATTTTATATATTAAAATTTCGAAAATTTCAAAAAATAATAGAGAATATATTTAAAATATAAATTATATATTTTTTTATATTAAAGAAAATAAAATATTAAATTTCGAAAATTTCAAATAATTTCTAAATTTTATATATTAAAATATAATATATTTAAAAAAGAATGTATAAAAGAGATAATAAGATATTAAGATTGAGAAATTGAGAATTTGAGATTTGAGAATTGAGAGATTGATAAGAAATTATGAATGATAGATTGAGATTTGAGAGAATGAGAGATGGATTGAGTATTTGAGATTTTGAGTGTGATTTTTTAAGAAAAAAGGGGTACTTATAATGTACTACCTCCGTCCCGTGAAACATGAGACATTTGTTTTTTAGGAGGAATTTAAGGGAGTGTATTTTGGTATTGAATTTCCAAAAATGTCATTTGATGTGATGGGTAAAACTATGATTTGATGGATAGATTATTAGTAAAAAGGTATGATGTGATAGTTAGGGTATGAAAAAGTAAGGGGTAAAAGTGACTTTTTAATAGAAATGAGAAGTGTTTTGTGGGACGGATAAAAAAAGAAAGGGGAAAGGTTTCACGGGACGGAGGGAGTATTTTAACCCTCCCCCTCCCCTCCCCTCCCCCTCCCCCCTCCCTCACTCTAACAGCTCAAGAGCCGTTGAGGCCGGCACCCCCACAGGCCACTGACTTTTCTTTTTTTTTTTGAAGGTCTATCCGTTGGAGCAAAAAAGAGGAAAAAAAATATTAAACCGGTACCGGCGGTGCCGGTAACGAAATTTGGCCACCGGACACAGTACTGGTTGGGGCGGTACCGGTACCGTTTCCTGGAACCGGTGGCTCGTTCCTGGTGACGGTGACGGTACTCGGTACCGGCGGTACCGTTCCCGGTGACGGTACCGTACCGGTACCGTGTCCCGCCCTATGGGGGACTAATTTGTAGGGCTGTAAATGGATAATAAAAAATCTGATTATCATCTGCATGTGTATCCGCTTATACGGAAAATATCTGTATCCATTAAAAGCAGTTATCATCTAATTAAGAATATTCGATTGGTAAACGGATACGAATTTGGTAATCATACATTTGGCCCGTTTATAATCCACTCCGCACTGACATCCATTTGAATAATAAATTATTTGTGTATCTGATATGTTTTATATAATTTTTTCTATATATTTCACTTTTATATATATATATATATATATATATATATATATATATATATATATATATATATATCAACAAGACTTTCAATTTGAATATAATCTTGCTCGATAAAAAGATTACTTAAAATATCTTATTTTATTGTCTTCGTTTCGACATTTTTTTAATTTAAATAAAATTAGAGTTATAATGTATGAGACTAGAGATACTAGGGGGCTTGTGATGGATATCAGGCTAGCCATTGGGTTGAATGAGACCCGAGAGTCTAATCCTTTAATGATCATTATTGCTACTAATTTATGTTGAATTTAAATATTTAATCATACACCTAAACATGAATTTAGATATTTATTTAATGAAAAATTTCATTTTAATATTTTGGAATAAATTACTTACCGATATGAACCAATTAGTAGTGTCGAGTCTGTTTTAAATCCCGATTTTTTGGGATCCCGATTTTTTCTTCGGGAAGTTCCCGTTGTTAGATCTGCATATTCTCTCTTCTTTCCTCTCCAAAGTCCGAACCCTATCCCCAAACCCCCTCTTCGTCTTCCCCGTCCAAACCAAAATGACGACGGAGCAGCTTCAATATTGGAAGCTGTATTCTACGTCTCTTCGTGCCTATACTGACACCATGACGCCGGCGTTTGTGCTCTGCGCTACAATCTCGTTCTCAGTCCATGAAACTGAGCTCAGGAAATGGGAGATTGCCTTACTCAAGACGGTGATGTTTATGATTCTAGGAATTGCATTCATGCTAGGTACAATTTTCTGCCGCTGGAGGCTACTCGAGATCGAGGCACTAGAGAGAATGTGGATAAAAAAGTAAAATAAATAAATATCCACAATTAGAAAAAAAATATTCATCTAACACATTTTATGTCACTATTAGAAAACTAAAATAAATAAAATTATATTTATAGAATATATACGAGCCTGTGCGAAGCACGGGGTTACCACTAGTTGGAATGGTAATCTACACTTAAAGCATATGTAACCTCTTTTTTTTCTTTTTTTGTTTATTTATTACGAAGTATTTTATATTATAAAAAAATCCTTATATTTAACAATTGAATTGTAACATCTATTTCGCGTATAACTTTTTATACGTAAGTCCAAACTCGACACACGTTACACCGTTGAATTTGTCTCAACAAGACCTTCAATTTGAATATAATCTTGCTCGATAAAAAGATTACTTAAAATATCTTATTTTATTGTCTTCGTTTCGACATTTTTTTAATTTAAATAAAGTTAGAGTTATAATGTTTCAGACTAGAGAAACTAGGGGGCTTCTGATGGATATCAGGCTAGCCATTGGGTTGAATGAGACCCGAGAGTCTAATCCTTTAATGATCATTATTGCTACTAATTTATGTTGAATTTAAATATTTAATCATACACCTAAACATGAATTTAGATATTTATTTAATGAAAAATTTCATTTTAATATTTTGGAATAAATTACTTACCGATATGAATCAATTAGTAGTGTCGAGTCTGTTTTAAATCCGGATTTTTTCTTCGGGAAGTTTCCGTCGTTAGATCTGCATATTCTCTCGTATTTCCTCTCCGATGTTCGAACCCTATCCCCAAACCCCCTCTTCGTATTCCCCGTCCAAACCAAAATGACGACGGAGCAGCTTCAATATTGGAAGCTGTATTCTACGGCTCTTCGTGCCTATACTGACACCATGGCGCCGGCGTTTGTGCCCTGCGCTACAATCTCGTTCTCAGTCCATGAAACCGATCGCTGAGGAAATGGGAGATTTCCTTACTCAGGACGGTGATGTTTATGATTCTAGGAATTGCATTCATGCTCGGTACAATTTTCTACCGCTGGAGGCTACTCGAGATCGAGGCACTAGAGAGAATGTGGATGAAAAAAGTAAAATAAATAAATATTCACTATTAGAAAAAAATATTCATCTAACACATATTATGTCACTATTAAAAAACTAAAATAAATAAAATTATATTTATAGAATATATACGAGCCCGTGCGAAGCACGGGGTTACCACTAGTTGGAATGGTAATCTACACTTAAAGCATATGTAACCTCCTTTTTTCTTTTTTTGTGTATTTATTACGGACTATTTTATATTATAAAAAAATCTTATATTTAACAATTGAATTGTAACATCTATTTCGCGTAACCCTTTTAATATGTAAGTCCAAACTCGACACACGTTACACCGTTGAATTTGTCTCAACAAGACCTTCAATTTGAATATAATCTTGCTCGATAAAAAGATTACTTAAAATATCTTATTTTATGGTCTTCGTTTCGATATTTTTTTAATTTAAATAAAATTAGAATTATAATGTATCAGACTAGAGAAACTAGAGGACTTGTGATGGATATCAGGCTAGCCATTGGGTTGAATGAGACCCAAGAGTCTAATCCTTTAATGATCATTATTGCTACTAATTTATGTTGAATTTATATATTTAATCCTACACCTAAACTTGAATTTAGATATCTATTTACTGAAAAATTTCATTTTAACATTTTGGAATAAATTACTTACCGATATGAATCAATTAGTAGTGTCGAGTCTGTTTTAAATCCCGATTTTTTTGGGATCCCGATTTTTTCTTCAGGAAGTTTCCGTCGATTGATCTGCATATTCTCTCTTCTTACCTCTCCAAAGTCCAAACCCTATCCCCGAACCCCCTCTTCGTCTTCCCCGTCCAAACTAAAATGACGACGGTGCAGCTTCAATATTGGAAGCTGTATTCTACGGCTCTTCGTGCCTATACTGACACCATGACGCCGGCGTTTGTACTCTGCGGTACAATCTCGTTCTCAGTCCATGAACCTGAGCTGGGGAAATGGGAGATTCCCTTATTCAAGACGGTGATGTTTATGATTCTGGGAATTGCATTCATGCTCGGTACAATTTTCTGCCGCTGGAGGCTACTCGAGATTGAGACACTAAAGAGAATGTGGATGAAAAAAGTAAAATGAATAAATATTCAGTATTAGAAAAAAATATTCAGCTAACACATATTATGTCACTATTAGAAAACTAAAATAAATAAAATTATATTTATAGAATATATACGAGCCCGTGTAACCTCCTTTTTTTTTCTTTTTTTGTTTATTTATTACTCCCTCCGTTCCCCTGTATTTGTCCACTTTCATTTTCACACCATCTAATGCACTTCTTTAATCCATTTTATCTTGTAATTTGTATATAAAAAAATTATAAAAATTATATATTAATAATTTATATGTAGACAAATCAAACAAGATCACACATGACTATATTTAGGCTTACACATTGAGAGAATTTGATGAGTCAAAGTGCTTAGATAAAAAGTCCCAAAAGTCAAATGTGGACAATTACAGGGGACGGAGGGAGTATTTTATTTTATAAAAAATCCTTATATTTAACAATTGAACTTTAACATCTATTTTGCGTATAACTTTTTATACGTAAGTCCAAACTCGACACAGATTACACCGTTGAATTTGTCTCAACAAGACCTTCAATTTGAATATAATCTTGCTCGATAAAAAGATTACTTAAAATATCTTATTTTATTGTCTTCGTTTCGACATTTTTTTAATTTAAATAAAACTAGAGTTATAATGTTTCAGACTAGAGAAACTAGGGGGCTTGTGATGGATATCAGGCTAGCCATTGGGTTGAATGAGACCTGAGAGTCTAATCCTTTAATGATCATTATTGCTATTAATTTATGTTCAATTTATATATTTAATCCTACACCTAAACTTGGATTTAGATATCTATTTAATGAAAAATTTCATTTTAATATTTTGGAATAAATTACTTACCGATATGAATCAATTAGTAGTGTCGAGTCTGTTTTAAATCCCGATTTTTTTGGGATCCCAATTTTTTTTCGGGAAGTTTCCGTCGATAGATCTGCATATTCTCTCTTCTTTCCTCTCCGAAGTCCGAACCCTATCCCCAAACCCCCTCTTCGTCTTCCCCGTCCAAACCAAAATGACGACGGAACAGCTTCAATATTGGAAGCTGTATTCTACGGCTCTTCGTGCTTATACTGACACCATGACGCCAGCATTTGTGCTCTGCGGTACAATATCGTTCTCAGTCCATGAAACTGAGCTGAGGAAATGGGAGATTGCCTTACTCAGGACGCTGATGTTTATGATTCTAGGAATTGCATTCATGCTTGGTATAATTTTCTGCCGCTGGAGGCTACTCGAGATCGAGGCACTAGAGAGAATGTGGATGAAAAAAGTGCATGAGGACGCAGAGGCCGCCGCCAACTCACCTGCTTAGTCCTCCTCCAACTTAGCTGCTCAGGGCTCCTCCAACTCACCGGCTAAGGGCTCCTCCAACTCAGCTGCTCAGGGCTCCTCCAACTCACCAGCTCAGGCCTCCTCCAACTCAGCTGCTCAGGGCTCCGCAGACGCAGCGGCACAGGCTGCAGACTCTGGTAATCAGGCCGAAGCTGCCCATGCAGTCGCTGGAATCAGGCCTGTGAAAGTGCCAAAGCCCCTTTTCCCCCGCTTCTGGTTTCGATTTTACTTGTGTATTGCGATGGCAGTGCCAAAGTGTCCCTTCAATTTCTATTATATACTCACATTGTGGCTATATGATGTGATACAGTTCTTTCAAGTCTCCGGTTGGCGGCATAGAGAAAGACGAGAAACAAAATAATCTGGAGGAGCAGCTGGAGAAACTCCTGGATGAAAGGATGAAACAGATCAAGTCAACTGCAGAAAAGGTTTCGGCATTTTTTCCACATATGAGAAATGGGGAGAGCACCTCAGCTTGCTTTACAAATTGCATCTTCTTCCATGGATTCGGGCCTAGTCTCCGAATTGATTCTTCCGAAACGGTACTTAAAAACTAACTTAGCTTTACCATTTCATTGTTAAGAGGGCTTAGAGTTCCATCAATAGAGTTTTAATTGTTCCTGGGGTTGATGCCATTTTGGTGAACCGTTCTGAAAAGTTTAGCTCATGTTGTTGTTAGTGCCTTCGTAAGTCTGTATGCCTTAAATATTACCGACTTTTAAGTTTTAAATATGTATTATGAGTAAGAGTTTGTTCTCTTCAATTTATTATTTTTTACTTATTACTTAATCGTATTAGAATTTTAAATATATCTACAATTAGATTAAATTAGAATTTAATCAGATTGGATAGAACCAATTAGAGACTTGTATAGTAATTTGATTAATACTTGTGCAGAAAAAAGAACTAGTACATGCTTCTTCATGTTATTTTTAATATGGAGTATATGATAAGAGGCTATCTAAATGGGAACGGACGAGAAAAACTATTCATCTAAATTGGTGAAATGATTGATAATGCTAAAAATTTTAAATTTTAGGCGCCAATATTTGAACGACACCATGCTAACCTTGTGAAGGATATTTGAGTTCTAACTTTGTCACTAGAGGACTCAAAGTGCACAATGGCATTAGAGTTGTATGGAGTAATTTGTTTGAGATTTGGTTTGTTTGACATTTGGGTTGAACTTTTAAGGTTAGTTTACTTGGCATATAAACTTTGATTTTTAAACCAAAAATATATGAACTTTCAACATTCTTTCACTAGGCAAAGGGAGTAGTAAAATGCTGATTTCATTATCCGGTTAAGAACCTTCAAAATTTAATTATATTACACTAATATGCAATACAAATAAAGAATAATTAAAATTTAAAATCCATCCAATTTGACTAAAAAAATGTCAAAGCAATTCAATAAATACACTATAATGGATGAAGTAACATCGATTTGATTCTTGAGTCATACTCCGGGCATTTAAATATGACGATTCAAATTTGAATATTTCAAATTCAAATACGGAGTATACAGCTTTTTATTTGAATGTTGAACTTAAGTTCAATAAAGTGACAAATATAAGTTCATTCGAGTGATTCTATGATGGACTTAAGTTCTACATGGACCTTTTCACATATTTTTTAAATTTTGAAAATGCTTATTTAGCATATATAAAATTAGGCCTGGCAAAATAGATTCGGACCCGGTAACCCGAACCGAATAACCTGGAATTAAATTCAAAATGACTCGAAAAATGAAGAATCAAATTAGACCCGAACACTCGAAATGGTCCGGTCCAAACCAAATTGAATATATGAAGACGTGATTCAGATCCGGATATGATTCAACCTGAACTAGTTAGATCCGTATCAATTAAACCCGGAATCGATTAGACCCGAAATAGATTAGACCCGAAAACCGATCAGACATGATATTGAACTCAAATTCAGACAAACCTAATAGCTCATTGGTTGATATCTTTCTCAGAAAAACATATTTAACTTATAAGTATAACCGATTTAAATTACAAATCTTTTACTTCGTATTTTATTACTTAAACAAAGGTTGTCTATTTTCATAGAGAATTTATAAAATTTATAGTGGCACCTAACACACATTAGAGGTCGTGGTCATTACTATTGACACTTGTATATATACTCCCTTTGCACTTAGGAAGGGGAAGCTACACATAAGGCTAAAGTTAAGAACTCTAATACCAAGAGATCTCATCTGAAATCGGTATAAACCCGAACCGGCATAAAGGTCTTTTTTTCTACTCTAATACTCCGTTCAAGAACGGTCTTTTTTCTACCCCGGAGTATTTTTTTTTAAGATATGGGTTAAGATATATGATATGCAACTACATTGTTTACTTCATAAAGATTGTGCAATTGTTGCAATTACTTGGCAATAATGCCATGTTTGGTGTACACGAGAAGTGGAGAACTAGAAGAGAAACATATGTGAAGGAGTATTTTATATTGTTTGGTAAATGAAAAATATGAGGATTTTGTCTTTAATAAATTGTAAAAACATTTTCAATACGTATTAATGTTTTGGACCAAGATTTAATGGTGCAAGATCACTTTTTCAAAACATAAACACTACAAGCTCACCCTATTGCCAAACAAAACCTCTATGTTTGATTATTTGCTACTCACCAACAAAACCGTTTTTTTTGGCATCTATCATTTGCTGGTTGGCAACAATAAGAGATAACCAAATGCCTTAATTAAGTTCATCCCAAGACCTTGTAGACATACTTTGAATAAAATGGTCAGATGACTTACTCTCCTGAAAATAGACACCTTAATATGCTTTTAGGCTCTCAAAAGCCGCATCTAAATTACCCTTTTTATATCTTCATTTTTCTTTTTCTTCCATCAACAGGGACTTGAAAGCTAACAAAAAATCAATGCATAACTTATAATGTGGGACATGTAGAGTATATTTTGAAATTTGAACCCAGTGGACAAAAACAGGGGAAAAAACAAAAATATAACTGAATGATGAGACAAGAGTTTGGGCACTCTAAGAAACAAACTTGACTTTTAGGTTATGCTTATTAGTTGGCAGGAGGGAGCATATTTTCAATGTTTGATGGCATTAAGATGTTGAAACCGTCGGCAGCTGTGGACAAAATCATTCCTGGAATTTGGGGATGCCAGTGAAGTTCCTTCAAGTCATTTTGGCCCTGTTACAAGGACATGGCACATCTCAATAAGCGTGCAGTTCTTCACTAATGAGCTAAAAGGATATAAAGAAAAGGGGTATATAATTAACCTGATGGACAAAGAGAAGTTGTGGGGGCAAATCTGCAGGCGCATTCACGTGCTCCTTAATTTGTGCCTTGAACTCTGCTTCTTCTTCCTCGTCTCTTTCCAAAGAAAGGTCCCATATTCTGGGAGTTTTTTTTCAAAGTAACAGAGGCAAAGTCAACAAGAGAAACTTGACTTCTAGGTTTTTGGTAACTTCAAGTTTTGATTAAAGAAACTTCATAAAATGATTCTCTGTGTGTGAGTGTGCATGTGTGTGTCTTACGTCAATTGATTGTCGGATGATGTAACAGCAAGTGTAGCCGCTTCATCTGGACTGCCTGCGTGTGGACTCCATTCAATAGATGTGATTGGATGTTTATGGTACTCAAAGTGGGCAACTACAGCATTTCCATCCTGTGTTTAGTATTTAAAAGACATTTGTATCCAATATTAGATTAAGAATAGTATAGCTTACTGCTGTGTAAAAGAAAGTTAAGTATCGCCCTACACAGCAGGGGTACAACATAACAAATTAAAAATACCAACACATAGACCATTCCATTTATGCAATCTATCCACCATTTACATGGCGTACAAAGCCGAAGATTGAAATTTAATTTTGATCCATGGTTTTGTTACTGAAGTCCAATTCATCCATGATTTCATTTAATTAAAGCCACCAAACATATGCATTTATGTTTTTTAAGCATGCTTATGCTGCCAATCATCAAAATTAATTTTAAAATTAAATAAATATTTATAGAAAAAACTACCCATAACATTACCATGCCACCAATGGTACTGTGGTTGTTGGGATGGTTTGGAGATATGGAATGCCAATTGAATTCCTTGTCAAAGCTAAGTTAGACTGTTCTTTTCAACTTTTAACTCGAGTTATCCAGACTCCAGATTGTTTACACCACTCTACAATCTCTAAATTTTATTTAAAACTAATAATATACTCAGATATACAGACTTGGGCGTATGATTCATGCCTGTCCTGACTCTCAACTCCATAAAAAATTAAGGCAAAAAGGACATGCCCTTATAATAAACAAAGAAACAAATACACGCACATTTATTATATGGGTGTGATTTCAATCTGTATCAGAAGTACCCATGACATAGGAAGTGAACCTAACTGTTAGATTCAATATCACCTGTTTAAGATAGATAGAGTTCATTTAATGCTTGAATTAAAATCTCAGTGTGTGCGTGTTTTAAAATTCTAAAAAAAAAGGGATCCTGAGCTCTCCAACTGGAAATGATAGATGGATTAAGCTTTGGATGGATTGAATGAATGGTGGACAAATGGATTTTTTACCATATTTTATATTGAAAAGGTCGCCAAAGTCAATAGGAGCGAACTTAGCATACCCGGAGCAACCTAAGATCTCGAACGGAAAAACTCCCATCATCACTTCCAGATGCCAGCATACAGCTTGCCAACCTAATACAGATCGATTAACAGTGTAAAGAAAGCGGAAATTTTTATGTGCGGTAAGGAAGAGGTTTGTAAACCTGTTCCAAGAAATAACATTAACGTCTGCATCGTGTGCTCTTATCATTTCTGCAGGATGTCTCCCAATGCGTATATCCCATATTGCAATATTTTTATCCACAGAGCAGGATGCAAATACAGAAGCCTCTGTAGGGCTCCACTGTGTATGAAGTAAAAGGGAAAGAATTTAGATATAAGTACACAAAAAATGTAAATAGCAAACAAACTTTTGCAGGCCTGACAAAGAGACACCTGCAGGTCTTCAACACTTGCAATATGTCCAACATAAGGATTCGGATCAATATTCCATGTTGCCGCAGATGTTGGCTCCCAAAGATGAATAGAACTCTTGCAATCCCCTTTCAAGATCAATAAGATTGAAATTATATAGCAAATCATACACGTAGTAGTGTGCAGAAGAGTCGGAATAATTCTCTGCACTACCTGATACAAGCCTTCCAGGAGCAAGAGGATTCCAGTCAATAGCATAGCCTTCATCCTTATGTCCACTATACTTAACTAAAGGTGGTGTATTAAAAATTTCAGAGGCCCCGTGGCTAACATCACTTTGTCTTTCCACCAATGCATTTATATGAGAGCTAAAATCCCAAATCTAGAAAAAAACAGAATTAATATTCGAATTACAATTCAGCTATTATATACTCTGTTCCCGAAAAAGGGTCCACAATTCCTTTTCTGATTGTCCCAAAATAAGGTTCCACTATCCTTTTAATGAAATGATTGTATAGGCTACTTCATTTCTCCATCCTCTGCATAGCTCTCAACCACTCAATTTCATCTTTCTTAATAACTACGTTTGATCAAATGTGGAACCTTAATTTGGGGTGGAGGGAGTATGAGTATAAAACTAACGATGGTTCATGAATGGTATGTGACTAGAAAGCATATGGGACATTTATAAAATACTAACTCTAACCTGAACATGTCCGCTGTCTGACCATGAAGCACAAATATGGGGGTTCTGAGTCATGCTACGTATGCGATTCACAGATCCTTCATGAGACACCTTGCGAAGCTGAAAATTTAACAGGAGTGAAATTCACTATAAAATAGATACACGTCTATATTGAAATATTCCAGCCTATGAATTAACAATAACCTGAAAGCGGAGGGCTCCCAATCCACCTTCCTCCTCTTCTTCTTCTTCATCTTCACTGTCACTACTGTCACTTCCCACATCAGTATCTTCATTTTTTGATTTGGGTACTAACTCTCGCCTCTTCCCAGATATATTAGATATCTTAAAAATCCCAATATAGTTCCACGAGCTTTTCTCAGCCTGAAATGTACTCCACAGTAAATAGGGTCACTTAACTATCACTATTTGGTTAGTGAAGAAAGAGACAGCTTGAACAGAAAAATGCTTAAAAACGCATTCTAAACTCAGCGGTAATAATTTCAGGTTGAATCCAACCGATCTAAATAAAAACAGTTTCATATAGCAGCAGCAGCATTGCTGTAAAATCCAAAACTACACGATCAAGCCCATATATCATCTAACAACAGAGAAATTACATTCTTGTATGCTCCATCTGTTTCCTATTAGTGCTCACAGTTCAATTGTCACAATGTTTAAAGTAGAGGCGGTATAGAGAAAAAAGACTGAAAAGGGGGAAGTTAAGGAGTAGTAAATGTGGGTGGGGAATTGAGAAGAGAGTAATAGGATCCCACACAAGTAGGGTCTGGGGAGGGTGGGTGTCAGCAGACCTTGCCCCTACTATATTTTAGCAGTTGTACTCTTTTCTGAAATAGTAAATGGGAAACACTACTTTGGAAGTTGGAACAACATATAAAGGGCAGATGGAACACTAATAAGAAAAGGGGGCAGTAGTTGCCTTAAAAGTTAAAAAAATTGAAATGAAGTATAACTCACCTGAGTTCCTGCCACAGAGTACACAGTGTGTGGAAACTCTGTCCGTACCAACCCTAGAGAGTCACGTAAAATATCAAAGCTGCCAATTGCAATAAAAAAAATAAAAATAATAATTAACAGCTTAATCAACAACAATAACAATAGCAACAATCCCAAGTATCATCCCTACACCTTTTGAGTTTGCGATGGGGTCAAAATGTGCCCATTCTTACCCAACAAAAAAAGGACATGTTATGCATTGGTGCATGTACTGCCCAAAACTTCAAGAAGATAATGTTTAACTTGAAAGGGAAGTTTTATCGGTCAGTGGTCAGTGGTCTGACGAGCTATATTATATGGTGTACAGTGTTGGGCGTCGAAGAGAAGTCATGTTCATCAGCTTCAAGTGGCAGAGATGGGGATGCTAAGGTGGATGTGTGGTCATACTAGGATGGATAAGATCCTGAATGAGAATGTTCAGGCTATGGTGAAAGTTGTGCCTATGGAGGATAAAATGGGAGGAACTAGGCTGAGGTGGTCTGGGCACGCTAAAAGGAGTGTACAGGCCCCTGTGAAGATATGTGAGAGGTTTGCAGTTGAAGGTGTGGCAAGGGATAGATGTGACCTAGAAAGAGTTTGAAAGAGATGATTACAAAGGACCTACGACTTCAGGATCTAACCGAAGATATGACCTTAGACCAGAATGGCTAGAAATATAATTTAAGTAGTTGGATAGGCTTGTGGCCCTTAGATCATAGTTTATGCCGGTGTGTTTTTGCTTAGTCTGTAGTGTGTTCTTGCAGGTCGTATGTCTACTTCTTAGATTCTATTTGTATACTTCTTTGTCCTTGTTTGTACTTTGTTCATGCTTCACTGGCTTCTTTTGTTCCCACTTTTGTCTGTGAGCCAGGGGTCTCCTCGAAACACTCTCTCATCTTTAAGATAGGGGTATGGTCTGTGTACACACGCCCTCCCTAGATTCCAATTTTGTGGTATTTTACAAGGTTTGTTTTGTTATGTGTGTTTGCATGTTTGTGTGTACAATGCCAAGCGGAAGCAGGTGTGATGACTCTACTATAGTACTATGTGAGGGAATTCAGACCAAACCAAGCAAGACCAGGAGCTAAGAGGATTAGATGCCCACAGACCTTACCTCTACCCCAAAAAAAAAGTATAGAGGGTTGTTTTCGTTGACCACTTGCTAATGGAATTTTAGTGAGTTTTGCTTTCATACTGCCTACCATTTTTTTGCTACATTAAATCCTCAGAGGCAAACCCCTTTTTCCTTCCATTCTAGCACCCACAGAACAAATAACAGCAATAATTTAAGCAAGTCAGACCCCCCTCCCCCGCCCATCCTTAAAAGTAAACATATTTAAGCAAATGCATGAGTTTCAATTCCACATGATAAAAGTAAACATATTTAAGTAAAATGAACAAGCTTCATCCCATTTATTTCTTGTGTTCCGGTTGAATTTGGCTTAGGATTCAGACAATGTATGATACCTCTGCAATTGGATCAAATTCCACCCTGAACATTTTCTTCAATTTAAACTCACTAAACAAAGCAACAATGCAAAAACAGTGTAGGAATTTTTTAAAAAAAACTGATAAATTCTTACACGTGGCAAATTATATGGTACATCCAGTTGTACCTTCCTTTAGGTACATCTTTGTATTTTTGTAAATTTTGCAAACTTTTTATCCAGAACATATGTATGATAATTATTATATATGACAATGAGTACCAACAGATTTGAGAAGGAGTACCCGCACTTATGAGAATTATCATATTCTTATTCAATACAAACATGAATAAACCTGGGTTTTAAATTCTCCATGCTCAGATAGTATAAATGAGTAGGAACGAATCGAATAGAGGAAGAAGTTGATGATGGTACTGAACTTTTTAATTGTGAAAAAATTGAACAATACTTTATTTCAGAATGAACACTTCCTTATTTGGGAATGAGTATTGTTTTTTTAATAATGAACACTATGCTATTTATTATAATTACAAATATGTAAAAATGAGTACTTCTTTATTTTAAAATGAGTACTATTTGTACGAGAATGAGTACTACTACCGGGATGTACCTATTTCTAGGTACATCCGGATGTACCATATACCAACTCCTTACACCTAAGACATGACAATACCTCAAACAAGGCCATCCAATGTTAAAGCCATGGAGAGTGTTGTAAGCAGAAGGATCAAACTCAAGTTGTTCTCCTTCTTCTAACTTGTCTACTCCTGGTTGCCACACCTTCGCCGGCATGGAAGGCACCGAGCTCGATGATGAAGATGCCCCATCTCCTTTCTTCACGCCCTGACTCTGAAAACTCAACGGTTATCTCCCGAAACAATTCGTCATAAACAAAATTGAAGGGAAAATTGGACTANCCTAAGACATGACAATACCTCAAACAAGGCCATCCAATGTTAAAGCCATGGAGAGTGTTGTAAGCAGAAGGATCAAACTCAAGTTGTTCTCCTTCTTCTAACTTGTCTACTCCTGGTTGCCACACCTTCGCCGGCATGGAAGGCACCGAGCTCGATGATGAAGATGCCCCATCTCCTTTCTTCACGCCCTGACTCTGAAAACTCAACGGTTATCTCCCGAAACAATTCGTCATAAACAAAATTGAAGGGAAAATTGGACTACCTTTCCCTTGCGTTTCGCCTTCTTAGGGTTCTTGAGACCTCGAGCCATGGAATCCTGCTCACTCTGCAGTCTTGGTGTCCAAATGAGGATTATGGTTTTCCGGAACAGACGAAGACGAAGGACGCATAAACTGAGGGTTACAATTAGGGTTTTGGGCCGGAGAGCTGACCGTTTGGGTCGAAAAAATGGGTTTTGCGGAGTGAGTACGGAGTACTCTCTTGTTCGTTACCAACAACCAAGCCCAAGAAAAAAAAATGTAGTAAAATGTTACTCATTGAGTGAAAAAAATTTACATTTACTATTCACATAGTTACGTCTCTTCTTATTTTTAAAATTTTTTTATACTCCCTCCGTCCACATTTAGAGTTCCCGCTTTGACTCGGTGCGCAAATTTAGGTGGAATGAAAATTGTGTTGACTTTCTCTTTATGCCCCTAATCTTTTCTACCCCTGTACACCCCACTGGAGCCGTCTACCCCTGTATACCACTGACGGCGAGACTTCTGCACCGCCATCGCCGCCGCTTCTGCACCGCTTCCTCCGCCGCTTCTGCACCGCCGTCGATGATGCTTTCGAATCCCCGCCGTTGAAAGCTCCGGGCATCGCAGCGCCCAGCCGTCGCAGCCCCTAGCATCCCTCTCGCCGTCACAACTTGCTTCTCTCGCCGTCACAAGCCCCCGCCTTCATAGATCTATTTTTAGACTTCTCGTTAGGGAAGAAAATCAACATCCCACCATAGATCTGGAAAAAAAATAAAAAAAATTGTTCCGCCAAATCTAGATCCGACGAAGATGCAACCAAATCTGAAAAAATTTCTTCTTTTAATTGACGAAAGAAGAAGGAAGAAAAACAGGAAAAAAATGAAGAAGAAATAAGAAGAAGAAGAAGAAGAAGAAGAGGAAAACAAGAAAATAAGAAGAAAACAAGAAGACAGAATTGAGAGGAAGAAAAGAAAGAAAAAGAAGGAAAGAGGAGGAAGAGTGGGGAGGGTGGCTGACGAGGTGGGAAGGAAGAAAAAAGAAAAAAGAAAAAGAAATGTAATGGACGAGGATAGTTTTGTCTTTTAACCCTGTAAAACTTACTAAAAAAGGAAATGAGAACTTTATTTGTGGACGGACCGAAAAGGAAAGTGAGAACTTTAATTTTGGACGGAGGGAGTATAATTTTTAATATTTAAATTATATTTTTATTTGATATCAATAATGAAATAAATTGGTTTGAAAATAGTTTTAATCGAACATAAATGATAACATCAAATTTTTTTAGGACATAGAGAGTACAAAAATATTATTTTCTTTAACAAAATAGTACTCCATTCCAAATGTTTTTAAATTTTTCCATGCAAAATAAAACTCAAGTAGTGAATGTACCATCCATAATAAACTTGAATTGAATTTTTTAAATAAATATACTAGTGAATAAAATTTCTTATTCACGTACAATTTGCCTCCTGGTAGATCCAGCCACCTCCGTTAGATACTACATTTGTCCGGTCAACTGTGATGAATCATAGTCACCTTTGTCGACATACTGCTACGTCTGTCATATCATCTATGGTTAATCTAAGACACGAGTCACCACGTTAGCTCACATTGTCATCTAGATCAAGCTAGAGTTCTTTAAGTTGTCATCTATATACCATGATCTTGATAATTATTTTATAAATCATTCCTCAATTAACTAACAATATATTCACCACATAAATATTACGCATTCGACATGATAAAAATTTTGTATAATCACGGTTTCATTAAGTTCAAATAGAGGTCTAGCGTAAGGTGTATAATGTTGTATAATCGTCGTACAACACATAAGCCACCGCGGTGTCAATCAAGACCTATATACTGCTTAGTTAGAGGTCATTATTAACCTCAATATGATGTCCAAAAAAATTGATTGATTTGGATGGATCTAAGTTTGTTTGAGCAGATTCTAAGTCATGATGGGTAAAATTTGCATTGGTTATTCATCAAATAAGAATGAGGTGTTTTAATAACCCATCACGTACTTTTGTGACCTGAGGATTTATTGGTCGATTTGGGTTCATAATATACTGGTTTGGACTATTGAGATGAGTTGAATAACGTAACCACTTTGTTTATTCAAATAAGCAGTTGTCTTCTTTCTCGGACAGTCTGCAATTACCTAGTGGGCAAAAACTTCCAACAACCTTCCAACCATAAAACTTAACTAAACAACATATAATTGTATTTATCGTCTATAGATCCTTTCTAACGATTAAAAGCATTTTATTAACGTCAAATGAGTATATTTTAGAATGGTGGGGTTCCCATGACATTGGGTTCCAATGTCATGGGATGACCCGGGGGCGCTCCAGTGCCCCGTTCGTAAAATTGATGGTTCCTACCCCCTAACCCCCCCGGTAATCCCCCACCCCGCCCCGACTCGAAAACACCCCCATACCCTCGTCAATTGCACTCACAAGTTGATTTTGACTTTGGAGTCAAATTTTTGACTCCAAAGTCAAAATCAACTTGTGGGGTGCAATTGACGGGGGTATGGGGGTTTGTTCGGGTCGGGGCGGGGTAGGGGGTAGGAACCATCAATTTTACGAACGGGACATCGGAGCGCTCCCGTGTCACATTGGAACCCAATGTCATGTGATTTTGGAATCATGATCAAGTATAATTGGCCATATCTACACGTACACATAACTAGCACATAAATCCAACCATATTAATCAATTATGAATGTAAATTTAATCTGGATGCATGTCTTGCGATTAGATGGTTCCGCAGACTCACTTCACAATTCAACGAAAAAGATGAACAAATAAAATGAAATAATATGATGCTCCTTGGGCGGTACATACATAGTGTATGGGGGTAAAGAACCTTAATACAACCATGTATTGAGTAATAATTGACCCGATCACAATATCCCATGAGGCACGCTATGGTAGATGACACTCCAAGTCAAAATACTTAGCTTCGATCTCATCAAGATTTTTCGAAAGAAACAATATCAATGATAACTTTTAATTTGCGCTTATACGAGACATTGTCACGTTAAGTTGTGCCATCACGAAAGGTGTGAGGTACTAAATAATTGAGATAAGTGAATTTTTTTTACTAAATAATAAACTCACAAGTAAATTAAAGAACTCTTCTTTTAAACTTTTTTATTTCCTAAATAGGACTTAATAATGACCTTGTGGAGGAATAATGTCTAGTAATGATGGATATTTAGTTGAATAATGACTTTATGATAATGACCAAAGGTTCTACATTGAGAAATAAAAACATATGGTCCTATATTGGGAAAGTCATTATGTTTTAGTCATATTTAGGTAAATTACTCTTTTATTATACACTAATATTTGAATAATTTGATTTAAAAATTACATCAATCATCATCATAAATTGCAAAATAAAAGTAACAACTTGCGGGCTTGTATATGTAAACCACAATAAAAAAAGAGGGTATGACGTTGTAACAGAATTAGCAACAAAAAAGAATAACACATTATTTGTTAAGTTTTGACATTTTTTATCCATCAGAATTGATCTTTGACCTATAATATTAAATAAAGATTACATTGTATTCCCTCCGTCCCTAAATTAAATAAACTTCCTCTTTCGTTTTTTCTTTATTCCCAAATAAACTTCTATTTTTTCTTAAAAAAACCCCTTTTACCTCTTACTTTTTCACAACATATCTATCACATCATACCTTTTTACTAATAATATACATATCACATCTTACTTTTACACATCACATTAAAGATATTTTTGGAAAGTCAACACCAAAATATCCTCTCCTTAAATCCTCAAAAAGTTAAAAACGGAAGTTTATTTAGGGACGGAGGGAGTATATTATTTTCTTTAAATGATAATTTAAAAATATTCAATAAGATAAATATAATAAAATTATTTTTATATCAATATCTTTTATAAATTTTATTTAATTAATGATCAAAATTTATCAATTTGACTGAAAAAATCAAATCTGAAAGAATACTTGTAGAGAAAGGTAGTGTAATAATTTTCTCTGTCCGAAAATATTCTTCTCATTTTCCTTTTCGTCCCTACCAAAACATTCCATTCATTTGCTTTTTTAGCTTATTTTTAGATGTAAATATTAATATTTAATAACACCTTTCTATTTTAATACCCAGCCACCCAAATTAATTCACACCCGTACGGAAATATTCTTTTTATTTAATTTTTTGGACTTTTTTTCTATTCTTAAATAATGTCTAAAGTCATCTCCACATGAACATTTTCATAGGAAGAGAGTAACAAACGATTAAAAAATAAAGAAAAGAAAGTGGACGCGAACAAGCAAATGGCCGAATGGATGCGGATAATGGTCGGGGGGAAAAGCTGTTAGAAGTTGAAATAGTTTGGATATGCCTAGTCATCATCGGCCCCACCAAAACGTTTGCTTTTACGATTTTTCGTCCCGTGACGGCTTCACGTGACCCCTAATTCTCTACTCCGGGGTAATTCACATTTTATTTTATGAGCACCCTACATGTTCCTCAAAATTTGTAACTTATTTGTATATCAAAAATATGTACCAACATTTTGATAGTTTACACTGACATAAAGTGTTGATATGTTAACAAAAAATTACACTAACACAAAGTATTGGTGCGTTAGTAAAAATTAGCATTACGTAAACATAAAATGTTGATTATGCATCCCTGCAATGTACAAAATGTGGTACAAATAGCATTATCCTTTATTTTATTCCTACTTTTTAATTCTATATTTTTTTAAAAAAAAATTCTACTCCCTCCGTTCCACAAAACTCTTCCTCTTTCGTTTTTTTGCTTTCCATAAAACACTCCCACTTTCTATTAAAAAACCACTTTTACCCCTACCTTTTCATGCCCTACCCATCACATCATACTTTTTCACTAATAACCAAACTATCTCATCTTACTTTTTCTCATCACATCAGGGGCAAAATTGGAAAGTCAACCAAAATTACACTTTCCTTCTTTTTTCCCAAAGTCAAAACCGGAATGGTTTTGTGGAACAGAGGGAGTATCTCTTTTTTAATATGTTAGAACCCGTATAAAATACGTGAACATATGGGAGATTAAATTCTAAGCTTCTCATCTTACGACTATATGATACTCCATTCGTCCTAAAATCTTCTCCTAATCATTATTTACACGGTTAAATTATGGGTCTTGTCACATCTTGTTTTGTAGAACTTTTAATGTAGTTTTTAAATATATAAATTTTATTTTTTTTAATTTTACAGCTACAATTAAATAAATTAAATTGAAAATAAAATCCTTCC